ACAGGAAACTGACCGGAATCCACAGGGGAAAATCCGGTAACTTCCAACTGGAATACTGCTTCCAGTTTCCAGTGCTTTCCCATGCTTTCCGGCCAGATACGGTGATTTTTCCGCATCTTTCCGGCCGGTTCCTACAGTATCCGTCCTCCGGAATCATTGACCTGGGTACCTTCGGTCAACCCTTATAGAAAAATATTTTTTTTGTAAAAAATTCTCTCTCTCCTTAAAAAAGGAGAAAGCAAAATTTCAAAAAACTAACAACGCCATCGTGTTCCCGACCCCGATTACCTTCGGTCGACCCTATCCCTGCAGGATATTGTTCGACGTTAGTTAAGTTTATGCATCTAGTTTCCTATTGGACGAGCGAACGAACGAACGCATTTAACTCGTTTTTCGTAATACCCTCCTTTCAGTAGAGGGAATAGCCATCACGCACGATTGAGAACAAATTTTCGACATAGCTTTTTCGAATGATAGTTCTAGTTTTTGTCCAAGAAACTAAATGCTATAATCAGCTAATTACATATTTCTTGTAAATACATAACGTTGATTCAAAAACAAATTTCACAGTGCGCTGCTCTATTTAATCAGCAAGTCATATACTATATAATAACTAACATCAACCAAATGGCTACATGCATTGTTTATTCAACTTCAATTAGAACACGTGCATTGAATTTTAACCAATAAGATATAAAATATTAATTTTCATGCATTCATTTTTAGATAGGCTTAGTTATCAATTCTCATCTTCCTTGAACATATATTTCTTCTTAGAAGTATATTTATGTTTGAAAATTGTTTAACATAGTATCTCAAAACATTCAAAAGAAGAAGTGTATGCCTCATAGTTAATGATTTTTCTCGAACAATCACACATTTATAATATACATGATTTACGTAGACGAAGCGTAATGACTAAGTCATATTATATGGAGTTTGCCATAAGCTGAATAAAGAAAAAGTAAACAGTACTTAAGAAGTCTACAAATGATTTATATACGAAAGTTAATGATTTTATTTCCTATACGGAATGGAAAGAGTGACTTGCTTTGAAGGCATTGACACGTCAATAGTAAGGACATCTCCTTCAATAAATGTGTTTATGCATCGAGTAAACAGTATGACGAAAAGAGAATAAATAAACATCGAACTGGTGCTCTGAAATGTAAAGAAAAAAAAATAGTACTGAGCATTATATAGGAATTCAGAGAATCAATATTGATTACTACTAGAATATAGACACTTTGCTAGACACGTAAAAGAAAGAGTACTCAATCAAAAATATGTCATGCAAAACAAAACAAAACAAAAGATGCCGCGAACAATTCTCAACGTACAATTATATCTTGTTAGAAGCTTTTAAATATTTGAATAGTTTCCGAATAGATACGACTGTCATCTCGAAATTATCATTCATTTGTAACGATGGGTTTGCATGGATGTGGAATATCGATTTCTACTGAGACATTAATAGAAAAACTATTTTTCTTTGTTTATGATTTGTATTATAAATTTTCTCTATTGGACCATTAGGAAGTAATAATAATGCTTGATAAGGCTAGACTATTTAATGCGGTGCGAAGCACAGCATTTATGCAGTCCGTCGCGAGTTTTTTTAATTTTTTTAATGCGATGCGAAGCAGAAGCATTTATGTAGTCCGTCGCGAGTTTTTTTTTTTTCCTTTTTTACTTGAGATCGTACGCATCTTTTCTGTCGTTTTGTGACTCTATGATCTCGAGAACCAAAAATCGTAGAAAACTCGTTGAAACACAAGATAGCAGTATCGAGATCGAACTGCTTACAGCTTTTTTCGAATCTAAAATCCGATGTTTCATTCGGTCACAAATATCATTCCAAAATGACGAAAATGAACGAAATTTATCGTTAGATAATTAAAGTGACGTCATCAACATATGTTAGCCACTATAGTCTCTTCATTTACAGCTGATCTAAGATAATGAATCATGGAGATAATTAATCGATCAATCTAAATCGATCCTTAAGAATGTATCGCTAAGTAAGAATGGAGTTTTCTCAGTGATGAATTTCATCATGTCGCCATAAAAAGTATTCAAGATTTCTCTGAATTGAAGATTTTTCCTGGATCGAGATTCCTGCTTCGCATCGCATTTCGTATTCGAGTGAAACTTGAATACCATCTAGTTTTTTTTGTTTCTTTCTAACTTGAGTACGCATAAAAGCTCTAATAAAGTAGTGCGATGATCTAGAGAACCGTAAGTGATAGAAAATCCATTCAAACTAGATATAAAACTATGGAGGTGGAGCTTGTTACGTCTTTTTTCCAATTTTCAATACTAGGCTTCGTTCGCCTAAAAATATCATTCGACAATGATGATTTTGAAACGTTTTATTGTTTTATAGTTTCGCGCTAATTAAAATGACGTCATCAAGTAATAGTAGCCAATAGTCTATTTCTTCGCATTTGATCTAAGATAGTGAATCATTAAAATAATTAATCGTTCAATGAAAAAAATTGTTAGACAACTGGTTGTTACATTTTCAGAGAGATTTCCTAGTGATGAATTTCAAAATGGTCGATTTAAGAATAGTGAATGCGAAATTTTTATTCAAAATTCGTATACGGAAATTAAAAAAAAATAAACGTTTGTAATGAATCTTAAAGTGAATCATTTATTTTTAAATCTTATTCTCGCTACTTTCGAAAATTCGGCTCGTGTGCTTCGCACCGCATTTCGTAGTCGAGTGAAACTCGAATACCGTCTAGTTGAGAATAATTTTGATAATTTATTTTTGGATACGCTACCCCGGTCGAAGAAAGCGATCAGTAAACGGTCGTATACGATACAACGATACAAATGCGACCCGTTTTACGTGCCGTATTTTCCCCGTATAACAGAGGCAGTAATACGGCCGTTTCACGACGGAATACGATGCAAAAACGACTGTTTACGGTAATGTTACGCCGGCTTACGGTGGTTCGTTTTGATCGACCTGGGTATTTGCGATGCTCTCTTAGGTGATTATCGTTGTCGCGAAAAGAAAAGAAATTGATTTTCAGTTTGTTAGATGAACTTCTTCATCAGTTCGATGATATACTCGATTGTACCGAAAATGTAATACATCTTCAATCAATGTTTGCTAAAATTTTAGAAATTCATAATAGAACTATAATATTTCGTGAGCTATTGCTCATAAAGATTTGTTCGGTAGCGTTCAGTATAATCCATTATGATTTTCTGACTAAAATCTGTTTCAAAAATGATTTTGAGAAATATAAAATAGCTTCTTAGCTTATTAACAATCTGAAGTAGTCAATGAAATGTTCCATCATATAAAAACAATGATAAAATAGCAAATTATTTTGTTTCATCGTTTATTAAATAAAAATATAACTGTGATGCAACGGCGATGGAACGATTTAAATCTAGGGGAGGCTCAAAATATTTTTCAGAGGATGAGGATGATGAGAGGTAAAATTAAAAACAGAAAATATTTGGCACTAATAGGTGGTCTATTGATAATTTACATCTGATTCTACTTTTCTTAAAGCTTGTAAAATAATGAAAAATATTACAGTAATATTTATTTTTCAGAGGGTGTGGTTCTATCTTATTCTACACCCACACCCACACATTCTCAAGTATTTGCCTTCTTTTAGCAGTTTTTTGGTCATTTTGTTCATCTTCATGAGCAATAGACTAAGTATTAAAGAACAATCGATCGAAATTTTGCCAATCATGTCTACATTAAAGATGATATCTACAACTTTTTCTCAAATTAAATGAGCCTCCCCAAACATAATGGGCCCGCCGCCTATGCTGTGACGAAGCAATTCGAGCTTACATTGCAGATGGTGAAAAGTAAAAGTAAATTATTCTAATTTTAACTTTTTATTGACGTGCGGTTTACAAAGATTTTATTTGACCATTTTCATTTATTAAAATCAAAACATTTGTTTTGAGAACAAATAAAAGAAATTTCTTATAGATTTTGTCCAGCATATCAAATTAACTTCGAAATTGTTTTAATTTTGGTGATCATGGTTTTTAAATCTTTTATTTCATCTAATAAACGTTATTGAAATGATCAATAAAAATTATCATTTGTTTTCCAATCAATCACTGGACTTTTGTATTATAGTTACTGACGACGGTTTACACTATTTACTCGCCATGGACTTACTTGACGTTGATTGTTTTTTAATTTTTATTTTCTTTCAGCGAACAAATAGAACTTTTATTTTTGAGGATTTACTTTCTGTTGATAGCTTGAATGAAAAGAAATCAAAAAACCAAATGACTAGTTATTACGAATTTGGTAATCTTTGTAAAAAGAATGTGTATAAAGGAACGAATACACAATTCTATTCTCGTACTGTTTTAAAAACTGTAAGCTACATTTATTGAATCTACTCATAACTAACGATACTTTTGCTATCTCGGTTATCCCCAGAAGAATCATTCCGATAGTAGGATCCGATAAGATCCCAGAGGGAATCCTATCCGATATCATTAAAATGTTAATAAAACCGATGAAATTCCGTTGGATTCCTGGAAACGGATTTACAGTCGGATCCCTGCCGCTGGAATCCGAGAAAAACCTATGTCGGAATNAAGTATTCAAGATTTCTCTGAATTGAAGATTTTTCCTGGATCGAGATTCCTGCTTCGCATCGCATTTTGTATTCGAGTAAAACTTGAATACCATCTAGTTTTACTTTTTTACTTGACGCGTACGCATCTAAAAAGTGATTTTTGTTGCGTGATGATCTCGAAATTGGAGAGTCATAGAAGATTCGTCGAAAATTTAGGTAAGAGTTTTAAGATCAAACTTGATATATCTTTTTTCCGCTTTTAATGATTGCGCGTAACGCGTATTTTCTTCGCACCGCATCTTGTAGTCGAGTGAAACTCGAATACCATCTAGTTGCTGTTTTGTTTCTCTCAGATTAATTAACAGAGTGCTGCTTGTTATTTTTTACCTCTGTGAAGTCGGAAATACAGCAACTCTATCTGAATCATCTACAATTTGTTTTTAATCACAGTTATCCGGTTAGGTTTTTATTTACGATGTATTTTTCAATTAGTAATGATAGGATATTTTATTGTTAAACAAACAATACTGTCGCAGCAACATTAATTCATGATAATGAAATACTTATTAGAATACATGAAACAAGATAGTATAGTAGGTAACATTTTAGTGCTAGCATATGGTCGAGCAGAGTTGCTGTTCATACTGTAGCTTCCAGTCACCATAGGTCCATAAGTGACAGTTGTAATACCAGTGGATGTTCTAACAGTACTGGTTGCTGGAGCTGTACTCATACTGAGAATGTCCATACTAACATTTGCACCTGTAGATATAGAAGTTGAAACAGTGTTGACTTCTGCCATGAAAGTACTATTGAGGATGCTGCTTTCAACAATCGTACTTGGATATGTAGTAGTGAGAATTTCGTTAGTTGTTGTACGAGTAGTTGCATCTCGATTAGTAGTGATACTAACTAGGGTAGTTGTAGAAGTACTACTAGTGGTTGCTGTTCGTGTAGCTTGTATCGTACATGACGGCTGCATAGAATTGATGATAGTCAGATTGTTACTGTCAGCGCTTAATGTGACTTCTATGGTAAAAGGACCCAATGTGATGTCGATTGAATAGCCAGTTGGATTAGGTACCGCACTGTTGTAAGAGGTTTGCCCGAAACAGAGGCCGGTTAAACTTACATTTAAAATTAATACTGTCGGCGCTTCCTGAGTTATGACAATTATATCGCTAGCACAGCAACATATTACGACATTGCATGTTGTAGTAACTGTATAAGTTCCAGCCCATGTTTCCGAATAAACTGTCACTAAATATATAGTAGATAATAATAAAGTTACCAAAAGCATGATAACGATGTTGCTATGGTAAAACGTCTATACTCTAGAAGTTATTTTGGTAGGAAATAAATATAAGTCAGGTTAGTTTTACGTGCATTATTTCAATATCATTTAACTTTAGAAATACAAAAAATATTTATGAAAGTCATGATTAATTTAAAGGAAAAAATAGAAAAAGAAAAATACTGTTGATAGTATTCGTTTTCCTAATATTTTGGACGATATAGAATTGTAAATTAAGGATTCATCACATACTTCTCATGGTTGATCGATAGGAAATTTTATAAGAATTCAAAGTAATCAACTAAAAGTGATAGGGATACTAATAAGTTGTTAAAAAATCGACAAATTTTCTACAGAAATTAAAATATAATAATACTTGGTGCATGTGTCTTGTGTTTTAGAAAACTATTGTCTAGAAGAAAATAAAAGTATCACTTTACTACATGAAGCTATTATTTCAATATGATCAATTCCTATATTGAAACTCAGTTATCATTAATAGCAAAAGCGCATTTGAAATGAAGTCAACTAAAAGATGTCGCTGATAACGAATTATATTTATCATCTCTAAAAGTGTTACATAATTAAGTGAATACTAAATTTTAATTGAGAGTCATCAATATACTCGGTGATGAATGGAAACTGTCACTGCACTGTAGCAAATGTTTAGAATCACAGCTGTTATCAAACTGGCAGATAGAAATGACACTGCCAATAGACATGACTGACAAGAAACAGCCAAACGAATATATTAGTGTATAGCTCAGCATTTATATAGATTGTTTTACTTCATTTTTTTCTCTTGTAGTGTATGCACTACATCATTCATGTAACCCCCTATAATAGAAGACCCCTCGGAGGGATCGCTCTACAGCAATTTTGTGTTTTCACCAGTAGTAATGAGCGAAATTTCAAAAATTTGTATGGTGCATAGTAAAAGATACGAGGTCTTTTATTATGGAAGGAGGAGGAGGAGGAGGGGGGGGGGTAATATATAGAAATCCAAAAAGCATTTTTTGACTAATGCTTTGCTTTTCAGCGAAAAAATAAAGTCTTTCACAATGGTCTCAGTTTAAGTGTTTTTTTCACAGAAGAAATTGAGTAAAACTCTCACTGCTTTGGCCAAGTCTGAGAAAAGAAGAAACGATTTTTCATTCTATATCCTATATAATATCCGATATCTTGGTGTATGGGTATGGGTGGATGGCAAGTTCCTGTAAGATCAACCACTAGATTTGCACCTACAATCAAGAAATTTATGTTTTGGATTTATTCGGCATAATAAATAGATTTGTTTTTTTGTGTTCAAGTTGCTCAATGCGATAAAATGTATTTCGCCATAATTCACCAAATTATATATCTTACACTGAATTATACTAATATCAGTTCGTTTGTTAGTGAATGCCTGTAGCACTTAATATCAAGAGGAGAAATCTATCAAAGCAATATTTTTCATGTGAAATTTAGCTTTCTCCCCAAGGGTAAACTTAATTATTAATCATAGAAAAACAAAAATTCAATACACAGACAACATGCTAACAATAAATAGAGGCTATACCAACATAATATGAAATGTTAGTATCGTTGAAAACAAATTCTAGTTTCACAACGCACCAAAGCTATTGTTAAGACACTTCGGCAACAATTACCGACTATTTTTAACATAAAATAAAGCACTCCATATTGACTCCATTTTGTCAGTTATAATGAGGAGTGACTTGTCAAGATTCCTATACTCTTACTTGTCAGCATTCAATCTATCCATTAAACCATCCAAGATAATAGCTTCCGATTACTATTGTCAATTGTAATTTCGTTCTCGCTCATCTTCTCTTTCAAAAGAAATCTTGTATATCAAAAGTTAACGATAAAATTTAAATCATTTATTAGCATTTTCTACAACAGCAACAAATTAAAAAACAGATCGCAGATAAAAGGTTACAATTTCATCATATATAATATATTAGCAAAAGCTTTTAATATTCTCTGTTCGAAATAAATTGACGATGACATATTGAGTAGTTTATATTCAAATAATTTTAAACAATTTTTTTCTTGAATCGGAGCAAATAATAATAAAAGTTGAATACATGAATCAATCATCATATCAATCGAATGATTAATTATATTATTTATCGGTATTGTTATTGATGATGTTGTTGCATTACAACATGATGTTAGTGTTGCTATTAAATATTGTTGTTGATTATATTCATATAGTTCAAGATAATTAAATATTAATTCAATACAAATCGCATGTGCACAGAAAAATTCAACTAACTGTTGGTTACGTTTGCATAACGAACAAATAATGATTAAACAATATTCACGATTTATATCTTGTTGATTTGGCGTATTCATAAGAGAAAGAAGAGCATGACTTAAAATTCGAAGTTTCTCTATATTTAAATCAAGTAAAATAAAATCAACATTTATTTCGTTTGTGCATAATTTAGCTAAAATTTGTAATGATATTTGACGTGGTGAAATATAGATACTTTCTTTGTTTTTATTGTTTATTGTTGAATTTTTCGGAAGTTCATCTTCGCTTATCATGGAAATAAATGGCTCATTTGCTAATGATAATGAACATAAAATCCAATGAATAAGAGTATTTATAAATTGACATCGTGTCGACGAATAACAATGGCGAAAATTAATAAATGTGGATAAATTTGAAAGTGTAATAAATGTATTATCAAGAAGATACATTAAATGTTGTTTATTATCATCAGTTATACAAGAAAGTGGATCATCGATTTTAGTGTCGGTAGAAGCTTTTGTGAATTTTTGACAGAAATCATTCGATAAATCAACATTTTCAAGCTAAACAACATAACATAACTTCTTTTTGTAAATTTTTAATATTTAATTTGGTTTTTCTTATTAAATATTTAACTGTTCTCTGAGGATCATCACCGTAAAAAGAAGCGTTTTGCTCGTTCGACTAATTCACAAGAGAATAAATCGAGAACAGAAAGAACAAACAAAATAGAACAAAGCCTTCTGGAAAATGTGCACAACGCAAACATATTTTTTCCTATCGAGGAATATGGTGACATATGTCATGCCTTGAGATCAAGTGAATTGTCAGCTTGCTCTTAGTATATTAATGTATGAAATGAAATGGTTTTATCAGCTCAGACAACGGAATCGTGGCATAGTTTCTTGTCACAATTAAAAGTGAGTGATCGGTAGCATTTGTTCGAGTGGAAAATAAGCGTTAATTGCTATTTTTAATGCTTGATGATCTTTTCTAGTTGATGCAACACCATCCACAATAAACAGGGATACAGAAGAAATTCTCCCAGGAAAAACATTTGTGTTTATGTTGAAAAAAATTGGAACGATTTCTAGAAGCCAACGAAAAATAAGTAAAATACTTATTAAAAAGTAGTATAAAACAAGCACGCCGAAGGCTGAGTATATTTATTCTAGTTTACTATTACTATTTTTTAGAGAACTTCAGAATATATTTTTTGTAATAAATCAACGTCGATCTTCTAATCAAAAAAGATTTATTTATCGACATAATTCAATATACAAAAATACAACATATAGTGGTTTGTCTGCTCACATCCTGTTTAATGGTAAAGACGCAAGAAATTGATTAAGAACTCTCGAAGTTCTCGTTAGACAACCTCACCAAACTTCGCCCCAATAGTCATGAATCATCACAGTTCATTATCGCGTAAGTCCGTTTCACTTATTTCGTTTTTTAGATTTCCCTACTATTCACATAAAATACAAGGAGAAAAATGCTATCTTTCTTGGTTATACCTGAATGATAGAGTCCGTTGATGATTCTAATTGCTTGTCATCATAATTAACTATCCCCAAGCAATTCGAACATGTATCGTAGCATTGTTCATGTGAATGCAAGTCATAATCAAATATTTCGTGCACCTCGTCATGATGACAATTTAATATTCGCTCGAGAATATCTAATAATCGACGATCATTAGCTAAATATTGATTTTCTTCAATAAATGATAAATTTCGTACTATTGTTGTAAGACAAGAACATCGTATCATGATAGAACGATAACGTTGACTTTGTTGATCTTGTGATGATTGTTGCTGATTGTTGTCTTGCATAGAGTCTTCTATTGATGATAGGATTTGTTTTGTTGATGTATCATTGGTATAGAATTTTACCGGGTTCCGTCGTCGACTAGAAAAACTTGGATCAAACAATGAACTATTTTCACAAGTATCGACTAGTTCTGATGGAGAAGACGAAAGTAATGCATTTGGATTGACCTTATCTGAATTACTATTGAATTTTGATTTGATAGATGTTTGTATTAACCTTTTGAGAACGTAACGATGTGTGCCATAGAATAGTGATTCTAAACGTTGTTGATTTGAATTGGGTCCTATGGTACTATCATTAATTCGTAAATTTGATTGAAGAAACCAATTCACATAATAATCATTCGTAGATGATGGCTGTAGAAATGATTGGCCATACAATTCGTAAAGACAAGCTAAATATAGATATTAGTTTCAATAAATATGATAAAAACAAAACAATATCTACCAGTATATTGTTCCATAATAGCATTAAATAGACCCGGTAGAGATTTTAAATTAAAATAAGAAGCTGTATGTTGATCACTAAGCCAAACAAGTAGTGTATCTAAATATTTATTACTCTCAGCTAAACAACCAGCACGTAATACATAAGGAAAACGTTGAAAATCATTGATTGGCATTTGTTGTGGTGTAAGACGATATGATGATGTTGATAAGTTTTGATAGCGAGAAGAATTTTTTGAAAACGTATGAATATCGATTGAGGATGCTAATGGTTTTTTTACATCATCGTGTTCGTGTTGGCTTGAAAGTATTGGAAGTTGTTGTTTATTAGTCTGAGTAAAGCAAAAATTAATAATGCATTTCAGCTATATCAATAGGTGGCGTTAATTGTGCATTAGTGAAAAATTCACCGTCGAAACTTTTCACAAACATTCGAAAGCCACACTGCTAACATTTATTTCGACCTTTTGTCTAAAAATTAGCCACTGTTTGTTTAAATCCTCTACGATTGAAATTTAAGACACGATCTGTTTGCTCATCATATGGAAATGTTATTTATTTCTTTACTAAATTTTGAAAATATCGAATATGTGATCTTGTTTCACCGAATAAGAAATAAGAATCAAAGGAAAAATGCTGAGTCAAGTACAATAGGCACTCTTTTCTATTTGGACAAAGTCAGAAGTTGAATTCTTTCCTATTCATAGTGTACTCAGTTGATGTTTAGGACTGATGTGCCGTATTATGAAAATTTAAAACCAAAAGACGACTTTTACAGACAGAGTTCATCTAGATGTCTTCAATTAACCTTAGTAATGGTATGTGTCGTTAATGTTGATGAAGGATTTCCACGTTTTCTCTTTTTTACCTAAAATTTTTTCATAAAACAAAAACAAAACATTTCCTTTTTCAAAAACAAACTGTATGAGGCATTTCAGATAGTTCAATAACTGAACGTGGATCAAGATCAGTTCGATCATATTGACATTCATAAGCTAATAACCCAAGTCGAACATAATTTCGTTTTACACTATATGCAGCTGAACCTTTGAAAAGAAAATAAAACAGTTAGTAAATCATAAACTATATTGTTTGTGTTTCTTTACCAGAATCACCAAAGCCTAATACATTTGATATTTCTTTCCACCCACGATTTGTTGTTATCTCTAAATAGCCTTGTTTTTCTTGAACAAGATGATATAATTTATATAAATCAAGTATTTGATTTGTAATTGTTGGATGTGATTGGCAAAAGATGCTTTGTTCTTGCCATATTGCTTTTAATCGTTGGCAGAATACTCGACGATCCTAACAAAAAATGAAACGAGTGGATTGTTCCATATGCATGCAAAAACAAAACTTACAGATTCAATACCAAACTTTAATAATCGGTCAAATATTTCATTTACTAATTGATGATTAATCTTATCTCGTTCGATCGATGCTGCCATGAGTTTTTATTGTAGATGACAAAATATTTTATAAGTTTGGTAAGACTTTTGTAATGAATCTACTCTATCATTGAATAGATCTAACGATTATTCTCTGATAGAAAACTTGTTGATCTCTAATAAGATTTGAAAGATTTCTAAAAAAAAACGTTTTCAAACACATAGAAGTAGACGATTTAAAGGCATTCGTCAGTATAAGATAATATCCATATCATTTTAACTGAACATAGCTAATAGTGTCGAGCAGACAAAGCTAAATAAATACTGACAAAAAAACATGTCAATCTCGGTCAGTCAAATGTTTCTATTAGCAGAGATTTTCATTCTCATTTATGTCTGCTTAATAGCCAATAACAATACAAAAAAATGAATAGTTCGGCGCCATATCTTTGTTCTGTTGTTCGTTTCGTCCTCTTGATTAGATTTTCACAGTTATACATATATACTTTTGGAAAAAAACAAAAGCATTCGTTCAGAAACTTTTGTAGTCCTAATGGTTTTCTTTTATTAAAAATCGGTGGTTAAAAAAGTTCATTGAGTTATCTTGACGTGACTTTTTTCCTTCTTCAAGAAAACACTTAGTGTGCTTTCATCTGTTCGCCCTCCTCTCTGACAATGTATTCTTTGCAATCTCGAAAAAACGTTGTCTAAGATCATTGCACTTCTTGAACTTGAAATAATGTAACAGGACTTAATATTTGTTTCTAAATTAAGCTTATTCATTATCATATGCAGAAAGTTCTTTAAATAAGCCGTCAATTTTTTCTATAGAAGAAAAAAAACTCTGTCAAACATTTCAGTTCTACATCTTCCTTCGAAACATAACTGTTGGAACCGAGGTTATGACTTTCTCAATCAGTTAGTTTTTACTTTTGACTGCTGATCATTCATTGCTACTGTCATTTCATAACGTCAGAGATATTTATCTTCGTCGCTCGATTATATCCTGAAATTTTCATGTCATTTGAATGTACACCGATCTAGATCACTTCTTTTTGGAGTGGTTCGTGTCCTAACAAACTATAATTAAGAAATCAGTAGTTGAAAAAATGAACACCAAGGTAATATTTTCAGTTTTATTTTTATATCTTAGTCGAAGATAACAGTAGATTTCAATGTTCTATTTTAGCCTTGTTTTCCAATACCAAATATAAACTAGGTATAGATATCGCTAGCGTGTTTCTTTATGAAATTAAAATTTACCAAGTGAATTAATAAGGCTTTCGGAATATTAGAAGATCTTAGCCGTAAAAGTTGTTTCATCAAATTAATTTGTATAGCTTTTTATTTTCATAAATATTTATATTCATGCACATTTATTGATGATCTTTATAGTTAACATTTTGTTTCTGTCGCTCCTCAGTGATGCACCAGTTTCGAGTAAGAAAATCCATGGGAAAAAACTCATCTGGTTGGGCACCCGATTTAATAAAAACCGTGTATATTCACTAATCTATCAGATAAAGAGACTCTTTTTGAAATAAGAAGATAAACAATATTTTCACGTTGATGTATTATTAGTTAAAGTAATTTGCAGATATTCTATCAATCGCCTAGAAGCCGAGGCGTGCACTTTATTAAAGAAGAGCTCATTAATAAATAGTGACAAATGAAATTGAAGCACGTACATCGAGGGGATCTCTATATAATGCATCACTTCCTAGCGTAAGAATATATTTGATTGAGCTCAATATTCAACTGACACTTTTCTGTAAAATAGTTTGATTGGTGATGGTCGTTTAAAATCTTCCTAGCTTGCAACTAATATCTATTGATTGAATGAATTTTTCAAAAAGAAAAAGTGACTTAATTTTCTTTCTTTTAATTTTTTAGCTAAATACATGGTCAAGTCTCATTAGTAATAAATCTTATTCTATTTTATAAAAATATTACTATCACAGAGAGAGTATTATTATTGAGATTTTGCTTGTTTTCTATTGTACAGGTGTTGGATAAGCTAAATAAAGCTTTTTACTAATGATATATCGTTAAAACATGTTACTGTTTTTTTTCTCGAGTACTATAATTGAAACGCCTTTTACAAAATTGAGCACGATAAGATTAGCTCAAGGGTGGACTAAGAGTTTCCTAATGAATCAAGGAATTTTCTTCTATAAGATGCGTTGTTTAATGTTTTATAAAAGAAAAGAGGATTTTAATTTTTCCATCTAAGGATTATAAAAGCAAATGTGTTGATTTATATTTTCAATCCTATTATTTCATTCAGAGACCGTTTAATGAGATTTGATGTGAATATTAATCGAGCGATATAAAAAGTTGATATGAACCAAGCATATATGTCAAACTTGAAACTTGAATTCAATTGAAAATTGAAAATTTCAATTTTTAAGCCAATAGCATTCTGAAGAATCGTGACTCACACATATATTGCTATGAGTTGAAAGTTGAAATTTTCTATTTTCAACTGGATCCAAGTTTCACGTTTGACGCTACTCCGTTTTCTTTTTGTTTCTATCCAAAAATCTCAAAGGGATGACGATAGAGTCTATCTAAAACTCGACTTGTTTTTATGCATTCATCAACTGCTGAGCTGTTAGCTATGAAACGCACGAAATGATGGAGAGAACAGGAGCGAGAGAAAGAAAAGTATCGTTTGGGAAATGTGAAAAGAAAGGCAATATAGTTCATCGTGTTCTAGCGAACAGATAATAAATGAAGTGAATTGAATCATAAAATTGCCATGCGGATGATTATTCAAGCCACTCTCAGTTTTATTATCACTTTATTTCATTATACAAAGAAGAAAATGTTGATTAATTGTCCAATCTATTCGAGGCTGCATGAACAAGGACATCGTATTATGAAAAGAATTCAATGACTTATCATTGCAGCATATTCATCGGTGAAACATCTGCGTACGGCGAAGATCATGATCGTATTAATATAAAAATCCGGGCTTGAATACATAAATTTTAAGTATTTGTCGGTAAGCTCCTAGAAAATGTTTATCCATGGGCAAACATTAATCCAAAATGTATTTAAAACTAGAGCCGTATTTTGACTTGAAACTTTCAGTTGATTAGCGTCATTTCTGTAACTCTGAAAAGCCTATTGTCCTAACAACACATCGATAGCATTGAACAAGCATTATATTGAAATAGAAAGTATGAAAAATACAGAAAAAGTACCAAAGATTGCTTAAACTAGTTCTTTATATGATAAAAAGAAGTTATGCAAACGGAATTATTTTTCTCACATATATTTAGAAGCGTGAACAATGTGAACCATGGACACTGAATACTCCTTTGAATTGGAAGAGACGTTTTATATTTCTTTAAGAAAAAAATAATTTTATTCACTGCGCAAAACTACTATGTTAGTGATCGTTCTTTTTTTATAATCAGAAAAATTCTGTTTTGGCTTATAAGGGCTTTGAGAAAAAATAGATTAAAATTAAAATTTAATACTATGACTATAAATAGTAAAATTCATAATTGATAACATAAGTAATTTTTATATAAAATGCACCTAAGGTATTTTAGTCATTACTGTACTGTAATTAACGATCGTATTTTCTCTACGGATAAGATTTCATTAATTTGTGAGGGTTAGCTCTAAGAATTACAAGCTAATCTCCCATTAGTTTCATCGTAACTTTAATATCATGCCAAATTATGTTATCTTCTTTTGGCATAGGCTAGCATTCAATAATAAACATAAAGAAGAAAACACCTGCTGTAACATTAAATATCATTTTTTTAAAGTATGCCAATGTGACTTTTTTTAATTTTAGTGTCGTATAAATCTTTCTTTCAGTTCCGTCTTACCAACGCGTCACGTATAACGAATGAACGAATTTGAAGTTTTACCACCGAGTCCCTTTTAATCGATAAACAAAATATTTGATAAAATACAGTATAAAAAACTCTACCAGATGTCATTAGAATCTTCTTTGATATGCATAAGAATACGCCCTTCTGTCTGAAAATTGCGATACTTCATTACAAAAAGACTGTTTTTCTATCGCATGCCAAGTTTTGTTCTTTTATCTTGTCTATTCAATACTACATTATTCATGATAGCCTCCAAATTGTATAATAATTTGAAAGTCTTGATATCTAGACTAGTTGATGGTCATCTGTGTTTATTTATCAAATGTATGAATTTCACTTGACAATATGTGAATACTTTTTGTGTTGAATCAAACTATTCTGTTCACTAATGAAGCGGCCGACTAGAAGATGCTTGACTACGTCTTCAATATAATTCTGACGTATTCTTCTATCACCGGATTTTAATAGAATTCGAGATGTAATACTACTGTTGGCTATGCCTAATTACATGCCGAACGTTTCTTGCATATTTTGCCCGCTCTCTCTAGAGGCGGCATCGTACGTAAGCCACGACTGCTTGCAGAAGAACCTTGCTCAATCGATCTCATACATTTGGCTGATATTTTCACAGCAGATACTTACATCTGAGCTAGGAATAAACCTTAAATTTCAGCTCAAACGGGTCAGCCGTTCTCGAGATATATGACTTGAAAGTATGAGTACTCGATCAAAATTAGACGTTTTTTTTTATTGCAGTACTTTTCAGTATATTTTCATTTTCTCTTAAGTAGTAATAAGAGATATCATAGAAATTTTTTCACCAAAGATACTATCGATTACGGGTTATCTTTTGATAGTCATAAAAGTGCTACATCCAGGAGTGACTTTTGATTGGCGCCATATTTGATCTTCAGAAAGCATGTCCACGTATTTTGGGCAACTTAATCGGATCAGTTAGATCGTATCCACTGAAAGTAGTCTCATTTGAAAGACCACATCAAAATGCATCGAAGAACGTTCTCAAAAGTTTGGCGTAGAAAAAGTCTTAACGTTTTCACCAAAAATTTCCATCTGTAAAAAGTGACCTATCCGATATTTTTATTGTTGCATCACTAACAACCAGCGTTTCTCTGAAAACTAGCTTCATAGCTTGATAGCACTTAAAATTCTCTACAAATGCATATACGAACATCTTGCGCTACATCC